TTCTTTCTTTCTTTCTTTCTTTCTTTCTTTCTTTCTTTCTTTCTTTCTTTCTTTCTTTCTTTCTTTCTTTCTTTCTTTCTTTCTTTCTTTCTTTCTCTCTTTCTCTCTTTCTTTCTCTCTTTCTCTCTCTCTTTTCCTTCCTTCCTTTCTTTCTTTTTCTTTCTTTCCAAAACAAGGTTTCTCTGTGTAGCCCTGGCTGTTCTGGAACTCACTTTGTAGACCAGGCTGGCCTCTAACTCACAGAGATCTGCCTTCCTCTGCCTCCTGAGTGCTGGGATTAAAGGCGAGAGCCACCACCACCTGGCTGGCTTGTCTTTTTCCTAAGGAGCAGTTTATCCTTCTCAAATTTGACCTGTGTACACTGAATCTTTCTTCCACTGTCCTGGAGTATAAAGTGCAGGTTAAAAACAGACCTTGTTTCACAACAGACCTTGTTTCTCACAGTTGCCGCAAAAGTTCACAGGAATCAGTCTAGGGTTAGGATATTTTTTTGGGGTTGGGCATGGTTTGAGTCATGCTCTGTCTGTAGAGTCCTGCCTGTGCTGGTCTCACTAGGGAGACCTGGCTCTCCTCTAACTCACCAAGATCTTGCTCTGGTTCCCGAGTGTTGTGATTAATGGCTTGCACAGCCATGCGCTGCCTGGGGTTACCAGTATTGACACTAATGGCTCCTCTGTGACCTGGTGACACTGTAAATGCTTCGCATCTTTGGTACTTGGGTATTTCTTGGTAACATGCCTTATGTCTGCATGTGGCAGGAACTGTGGCACTCGTGAGCTCATTATTGGTTTTTTATTATGTAAGACACTCTTACCAGGATTATTCTCATTATGCTTCTTTCCCATCGAATGTGTGGGTTACATCACTAATACAGAACTCTCACTTCTTGCATCATTTTACTTTAGGACTTATGCCTTCTGGGATCCATGGCGTCACTCAGCTGGAGTCTTGGGGAGAGCCCTCTGTTCCTGCATTGAGATTCCTGACTCCAGGTATGAGATAGGTACTTGGAAGGTGGTGGTATCTGATGTGTGTAGCTATTATATCTGAACCAGGACTTTCCCCCATGTGTCAGTCTCGAATGTTTGGAACGTTGCTTTGCCGTACTGGGAAACTCAGGCTTTCCTTGATGGTGTTAGTGTGCTTTATACCTAGGGCAGTCCTTGAATGCAGGTTCCTCAGTCACCGTGTCCTATGGGCCTAGACAGCCTTCTGCACTGTGTCCTGCATCTCCAGCAGCTGGGGCTTGTAGAAAGCTATTGCTGAGGACAGTGTTATGGTTCACAGTGCTTCTCCCAGTGATTCACTCCATGCTTGTGTTCTTACTGTCTCTAGGGTCCTTAGATCCTATGATATTGACAAATTCAGCATGACAATGGGTCCTTACCACCCTGAACTAGTCCCCTTGTTCTGTAAGAAATCTCAGAACACTGTTAGTAATATGTGCTGTCTGTCTGTCACTTGACAGTCTCCATGCCATTCATCAGTATTTGTCTCTGGTCAGGTTGTTGGATCAAAGTGAAGAGTGAAACGCCCCGCTTTGAGCAGAGTCTTTCCACGGAAGGAGATCTTAGTTCATCCATGCTCCAACAGCAAACGCTGAGCTGTGCTGAGACACCCTTGCTAAGTGCAGACAATGCAATGATCATCCAGACTTCCTCAGGTCTTCTCGGGGATCAGGTGACTGCCAGTGGTGGGGAGGCACCCAAGAGCACTGAGAGTGGAGAGGCCATTCACACTGAGAAGAAAACCTGCATATGCAGTGACTGTGGCAAAGTCTTTACTAGCACATCTCACCTTAATCGGCACCGGATGATACACACGGGAGAAAAGCCTTTTCAGTGCAGCGAGTGTGGGATGTCCTTCAGCCAAAAAGCCTTTCTCATTAAGCATTTCAGAATTCACACCGGAGAAAAACCTTTTAGGTGCAGTGAATGTGGCAAAGCCTTCAAGCATAATATCTCCCTCGTTTCTCATCTGCGAGTTCACACAGGAGAAACACCCTTTACGTGCAGTGAATGTGGGAAATCATATATGACCAGATCGAACCTTACACGTCATTATCAAGTTCATACCGGTGAAAAGCCTTACAATTGCAGCGAGTGTGGAAAAGCCTTTAAGGAAAAATCCAGCCTTGTTTATCACGCCCGAGTGCACACTCGAGAAAGGCCTTTTCAGTGCAGCGAATGTGGGAAATCCTTCAGCCAAAAAGCCTTTCTCATTAAGCATTTCAGAATTCACACCGGAGAAAAGCCTTTCAGGTGCAGTGAATGTGGCAAAGCCTTCAAGCATAACTGCTTTCTTGTTGCTCATCAGCGAGTGCACACAGGAGAAACACCATTTACCTGCAGTGAATGTGGGAAATCCTACATGAACAGGTCAAGCCTTTTGCATCATTATCGAGTTCATACTGGAGAAAAGCCTTAGAGGTGCAGTGGATGAGGAAAACCATTTAAGAAAAAAAAAAAATCCAGCCTTGTTTATCATGTCTGAGTGCACACTGGGGAAAAGGCCTGAATGTCATGAATCTGGGAAGTGTTAAAAAAAAAAAAAACACTTCTCATCTCATGAAAGATCAATAAGTTCACAACAGAGGAAATGATTTTGAAGTGTAATGATTGTAGGAGATTCTTTACTGTGAGGTGTGGCCTCATTAAACATCAGAGATTTCACACTGCAGCAAAGCATTGTGAGTGCAAAGAATGTGGGTAAGTGTTTTGCTACAGAACCTGACTTTCTAGAATCTAGAAGATTCACACTGGGTAGAATATATGTATTGGGTGCAGTGAATGGGGAAAATCATTTTCATGGGCTACTGTATGCACTCAAGGGAACGTTCACTGGACAAAAGTCAAGAATGTTTCAGATGTGAGGAGCCTTCACCCACACCTCCATCCTGCTGAACCAGAGAGGCCACGGTGCTGGGATGCATCATGAACCCACTGACTCTGGGAAAGCCTTTGAGCAAATGTCTGCCTATAATAGTAATATCCAAATATCCGCACAACCCAGATAGGTTTGTGAATGCAGAAAATGTAGAGAAAAGCTTCAGCCATTGGCAACCTTGTTCAGCATTGGGAGTGAACCAGATTTTGAACAGAAGTCCTGAGAGTGGCCTTTCAATGAAAGTTACTCATCAAATAAGAACATTGGGACTAGATGAAGATTATTGCCATCTTCCTATTCCCCCCAAATTAATACTTTCTGGGGAACTTAGGCAGGCCTGTTTTCCTGACTGTACCACTGAGGAGTGGAGTTTCCATGGTACTGAGTTTGAATTGGAGGAAGAGTGGCCTCCATTAATAAGACATGATTTTATTGTTTGTTTTTTTTTAAATGAACGTTGTAGTTCCTGGAATACATGATTGTTTGCTGTATAGTCTTCATGATTGTTGTGTTTCTAACTGTTCCCAGTTTTGTAGGGGACCAGGTCCATGTAGCACTTTATGCTGTCATGTAGGAATCCAGGGCATATGTTTTAGGTGTTTGCTGTCTTTACATGTGTGAGTATTTCGGCCGGGATGCGATGGCACAGACCTTTCATCCCAGCACTCAGGAGGCAGGGACCGCCAGATCTCTGTGAGTTCAGGTTCAGCCTGGTCTACATAGTGAGTTTTTATTTTAAAGATTTATTTACATTTGTGGGTTTGTATTATGTGCACCACATGTATGTGTGGTCCCTTGGAGGGCAGAGTGGGCATCAGAGTCACTGGAACTGGGGTTGTGGATGCTGGGAATGGAACCAAGTTTCTCTGAAAGAACAGTAAGTGCTGCTAGCCAATGAGCCATTCTCTGGCCTTACCACCCATGTTTTGTTTGTTTGTTTGCTTGTTTAGATATAGTCTTACTGTGTAGGCCTGGCTAGCCTGGGACTCTTTTTGTAGACCAGGCTACCCTAGAACACACAAGGTCTACCATCTTCTGTGTTCTGAGTGCTGGTGTTAAAGGCATGTGCCACTGTCAGGTCCCAAAGAAACAGGGACAAAAGGCTGCCTCTGGTGCCTATTAGCATACCAGAGCACATGCTGGCTTCCAGGCTCTCTCAGCATTGTAAATACCTGCTTCAGAGGCCAGGCTGGCATCCTGGCTGCTCTCAGCTCTTCTCACCCTGTGCCCTATCCTGAACTTCTCTAGCTCATGCTCTACTCCTGATTCCTATATAACTCTGCCATTCAGCCATATGCTCTCTTCATTTCTGGCTCTCTTGGTTCTCTTGGACCTCTCTCTTGTCCCCCTCTCTCCTCACTTCTTCTCTTGATCTCCCATTCTCTTCTCTCATGGCCCAGACTAATCTACTGGTCAGGTTTAGTCTACTACCTTCTTTCTCTGCACCGGACTTTCCCTCAAGCTTCTGGCTGTACTTTCCCTCATATCTATAATACAACCCTTCCCCTCAGCTGGGTGGTGGTGGCGCACACCTTTAATCCCAGCACCCGGGAGGCTAAGGCAGGTGATCTTTGTGAGTTCAAGGCCAGCCTGGTCTACAGAGTGAGTTCCAGGACAGACTCCAACGCTACACAGAGAAACCCTGTCTTGAAAAACCAAAAGTCAAACCAAAACAAGACAAAAAAACCCTTCCCCTCAACCATACTTTGGAGTGGTCATGTTCTCACTTCATACAACCACACCTGGTACCCATGTTTTTCTGCTTATTTTCTTTCATTGTTTGCTTTTTTTTTTCCCTTCATCTTTGGGTCTGTGAGTTCAAGGCAAGCCTGGTGTACATAGTGAATTCCAATGCTATATAGTATGAACCTGTCTTCCCCTCCCCACAAAAAAAAAAAAAAAAAAAAAAGGAAAAGAAAAGAAAAAAGAGAAAAACTTGTTTCTCTTGTTGCTTTGAAAGTTGATGTTTCTGAGAAAAATATCAAAGTCTGTGGGTTTTGTTTTTCCTTTTTTTATTTTCTGATAGGGTCTCACTGTTGATCGCAGGATGTCCTCAAACTCTTTCTTCTCCTTCCTGGTCTCCTGAGAACTTAGATTGCCTGAGTGCCAACATGCCCAGCTTTTCCCTTTGATCTCTTGGGGCTTTAGGCATTTAGTCAGCTTGCTGATTTAAGGCATTTTTCTCTGAAGAGGTGAGAATTCTCTAACCATGAAGGTATAGCCACATTCATTCCTAATATAAAAAATATAATTATGCCTATGAACAGAGACATGTGACACAGGATTTTGTAATGTCTGCACAGACTTCTGCCCATTCATGCCTTCCCAGACTGAAGGGCAGGACCTCCTGCAGAGACCTGTGATGTGAGACAGTGGTGGCCTTGGATTTGTGCCTGGTATGCACTGGACTTGACCCACAGTCGAGTGGTTTCCAGGGACAGCAAGTAGATTCTGAGATAACAAATGAAAATGAGACATATGTGGGTTAAAGCCTAGCAACAAGCAGGCCTCATGATGCATGAAAGAAAGGAAGAAAGAAGGGAAGGAAGAAAGAAAGAAAAGAGAAAAAAGAAAGGAAGGAAGGAAGGAAGAAAAAGAAAGAAAGAAAACATAGAATAGAAACTAAGCATATATTAAGGTATGTAAGTCTATCACTGACCTTTTTTCCAGACATTAAGAGCCTCCTATTTATGGGAAATGCATCACACAAATCAGGAGTAGCTGAAGCTTTTTTATGACCATCAGAGAGATGGAGACTTGAAGAGGAATTTGTTTGACTTCATCACCAGAGTACATCTGCAAAATATTACACTTGAATATTTCCATTATATCACCGAAACCTGCATAAGATTGATGGCAGGTGTATCAGTCAGTGATATAACAGGCATGTGCATAGACAGACAGACAGACGTCCAAGTACAAGCAGTAGTATGACTCCTGATGGGGCCTGAGACTCCAACTCGTCTTCTGTAAGAGCAAAATGTGCTCTTTGTTGCTGAGTCATCTTTCCAATCCTGACAGTTTTTGTTTTAAACGGTCTAACATAAAGGTGAGGTCAAAATGTGAGGGTAGCTAAGGTGTGGCTCAGTTGGTAGAGGGTTTATGCAGCATGCACATGGTCCTGGATGTAGATCACAGCAGCATATAATCCAGAGGTGATGGACCATACATTCAGGAGACGGAGGCAGATTCGTCAGAATTTCAAAATAATCCTGATGTACAAAGTGGGAGGCCAGCCTCATCCACAGAAACCTGTCTCAAAAAAGTTAAATACGGCGGGGTCCATGTGTGGTTGTGCAAGCGATTAATCTCAGCACTTGGAAGACAGGCAAGTAGATCTCTATGAGTTATTAACCTGGCTTACATAGTGAATTCCAGGCTGGTTAACACTGCAGTGAGACCCTGTCTCAGAAAAACCCTGGGAGGCAGAGGCAGGCAGATCTCTGTGAGTTCGAGGCCAGCCTGGTCTCCAAACCGAGTTCCAGGAAAGGCGCAAAGCTACACAACAAAACAAAACACCTAAAGGAAAACAAGTATTAGAACCTTCAAGAACTATGGGACATGATCAAGAGGCCAAACCTATGAATCCAGAGAACAGAAGGAAGACATGAAATAAAGTCTAAGGGAGGGTGGAGAGATTGCTCAACAGTTAAAGAGGACGTGCTTTTCTTGCAAAGATTTAGTTTCCAGTACCCACCACACTGTGGGTAACCACCATCCAACTCCAACAGGCATGCACATGAGGCACATACACAAAGGCAGGCAAAAAAATTCATGCACCTAAAATAAATAAACCCCCAACAAATTAACTAAAAGAAAAATCTAAAGCAATAGAAAGGCCATTTAGTGAAATGGTAGCACATAATTTCACAAATCCAAGAAAAGAAATGGACATTCAGGCACAGAAGGTGTTAAGAACCTTAAGTGACAAGAGAAAAATCTCACTGTGACATGTCATCCTCTAAATGTAAAAATTAGGGAGTGGAAAATCAGTGTTACTGGGCAGTGGTGGCACACGCCTTTAATCCCAGCACTTGGGAGGCAGAGGCAGGTGAATCTCTGAGTTTGAGGCCAGCTTGGTCTGCAGAGCGAGTTCCAGGAAAGACAGGACTGCTTCACAGAGAAACTCTGTCTTGTAAAACTCAAAACAAACAAATGAACAAACAAATCAGTGTTAAAAGCCACTGGTGGAAAATGCCAATTCAAACCAGGGAGCCGCTCAGAACTTTATCACAGCTCTCATAAAAACCATAAAAATTCAGGAAAGCATGAGATGATCTATTTCTGGCACTGAATGAACATAACTGCTAACCAAGACTACAAGTTGAGCAGTTTCACCTTTTAAACTTCACAGGGAACGAAAGACATTTCAACATAGACACAAACTAAGGCAACTCATGACCATCAATCCAGCACATAGAAGATACTTAACCCTACACACACTTCATTTTTATTTACCAAGTTTGTGTGTGTGTGTGTGTGTGCGCAAACCATAGTGTGTATGGGGTTCTCAGAGGAGAACTCTTAAGAGTCAGCTCCTACCTTTTGGGTCTTGAGAATTGAACTCAGCTTGACAGGCTTGGCAGCAAGAACCTTTCCCTGCTGAGCCATCTCAACTGCCCACAACATTTGATATTTTAAGATCTCATCTAATGAAGCTCAGGCTGAGGATGGTCTTGAACACATAATCCTCCTTCCTTCAAATCTCAAATTCTGGGGTTATAGCCATGCATCAATATGCTCTGCTTAAAGAAAAGCATTTAAAAAAATTTTTTTTGAGACAGGGTTTCTCTGTGTAGCTTTGGCTGTTCTACAACTTGCTCTGTAGACCAGGCTGGCCTTAAATTCAGAGATCTACCTGCCTCTGCCTCCCCAGTGTTGGGATTAAAGGAGTGGGCCACCACCATCCAACAAGAAAGGCATTCTTAGTCGTGAGTGTACAAGAAAGGGATAAAGATATAAATAAAGGAGAACCGGGAACGAGTCAGTTATGTCCAACTCACAAACCCAGCAAATTCCAAAAAGAAATAGAGGAGAAAAAAATAAAAAACAACCCAACCAAACATAAGCAAATCAACAAATTACCAGAATCAACAAATAGTCCCCGGTAAATAACCTATCTCTTAATAGTCTGAGTTCTCTAGTAATAAGACAAAGACCAACTGTGTGTGTGTTAAAAGCAAGATCTTACTATTTTTTTATCTACAATAAATAAATCATTGGCAAAGAGATTGATAATATAAAACGTAAAATAACATACAAAGTACATGGAAGGCAAAAACTGACCATGAGCAGCTAAACTTACATCTGTTAACTTTCACCTTACCTAAGATTGGAGTAGATAAAACATGCTACAACCTATTAATATGAGGAGCAATTTGTTAAGAATTTGGAGTAATAAATATATATGTACTGATTAAGGTATATGATTTTCTAAAATAAACATTACTAGACATGAACAGATAAATAATACAGAAACATTCATAGTGGGTGACA